AACCGCAGCGCGGCCAGAGCCCCGAGCCTCAGCCCCGCTAGAGCCGAGCGGGTGGCGGCGCCATGGCGTGCGCGGGGCTGCTCACTGTGTGCCTGATCCGGCAGCCCGCGCCCCAGACCCCGCGCCTCCCCACGCCGGCCACCGGGTCCGCGGGACACGCGCTCTTCCAGGATGTGAGTGGGGAGCGGGTGGGGGCGTCGGCTCTCCTGGCCCAGGGGGTTGGCAGTGCCTGGTAGCGTCTCCCCAGGTCTTATCTCTCCCTGTGTCTCGCTGGGTTCTGTCTCTCCTTGCCCCTGTCTCGGTGTCTCTCACTGTCTTTTCCCTGTCTCTGTCAGTGTCTCTCCCTCCAGGTCTGTTTGGGGCCCTGCCCCTGTCCCTGAGTCTCTGGCTCTGATCTTGCTGCCTCTGTTTCCATGTCTCCCTTCTTTATCTCGTTGCCTTTGTGCCCCGTTCTCTGTCTCATTCTTTCTCACCCTCTTGTCTCTGGTTCAGTATCACTGCCTCTGTGCCCTCCACCCCCTGAACCCACCCGTCTGTGTCTGGTGGGGTGGAGGCTATCAACACTTGATCACCAGAGCAGTTGCAGCCCCAGGGTGGGCTGATCCAGAGGGCCTAGAAGAATAAGACCCTTAGACCTGACCCAGGGTCCCACAGTTGGTCAGGGCTGCCCACGATCATCGTCTGTGGTTTGTACACTCCTCTTGTGGGTGGCAGGTGGCATGCAGCCCCCATGGGCGCCAGTGTGGAGCAGCCTGGCCTGGCCTTAGTCACTGCCCTAAGCCCCTTCCCCTCCTTTCACCCTAGTGCTCAGTCTTAATCCAGCCCTCTCATGATCCCACTCTTGGAAGCTCCTGCCTGTGCGGAAAGCTGTACTCCTGTCCCCTCCCCACTGCCCCCAATGACTCAGCACCTTGACCACAGTCCTGGCTGGAAGGGACCTGACCCTCCCATATCCCTGATGGAAAAAACAAGGCCTGAGGAATTAGGGGTATGTACAAGATCACACATGGAATCAGGGGTATGCTAGAATTGGTCCCAGGTGTCCTCATTCCCAGCTTATCCCTGTCTCCTTCCCCAGTATCTCCATCTGCCCCAGCCAGGCCACACTAGGCTACTGTGTGACTTCAAGCCAGTGGTGGACCTTCTCTGAGTCAGGCTTCTGGCTAATAGTTGGATTCATCCCTGAGCCTCACGTATACTAAGAAAACAGCTGAAGGGGAGTGGCATTCATAACCTGGAGCTGATAGGGGCTCTCTGTCCATGCTTGGGTCTGCCCCTCCTTGCCAGGCTGCTGGTCCCCTTTGTTGGGCTCCTTTGGGTGACCTGGGAGTCTCCAGTCCCTGAGAGAGACAGCACCATGACTTGACTCTGTGCCTCTATGTTTACCTTCCCCTGTTGCCCTTCATCTCCGCTCCGTAAATACAATCCATCCACCCTTGCTTTTCACCACCCTCACTCCCACCTGCATGCACACAAGTACACACACACACACTGAGTCAGCCTCATAGGAAGCCCCAGCCCTGGAAGAGTTAACCCCAGTCTTCTCTTCAATGTCCTAGGGTGAAAACTGAGGCACCCGCAAAGGAAAGACAAGTATACAGAAAAACAGTCAAATAGCTGAGAGTGGGCAGAGTCTGGGATGGACCATGGCGGCACAGCACAGTTGAGGGTTCAGATCTGGGACCGGTGCCCAGGAGTCTCAGGCCGCATCTTGGCCCATCTCCCCATGTTCATCAAGCTGGGACTGTGCCAAGGGCTGATGCATTAGACAGAAATCAGGATAGACTCAGTGTGGGAGATGGGGGTGCAGGGAACTGGCTTGGAGTACCCCCCATGAGGCCTGGCCCTGCAGGAGAAGTGAGCAAGCAGTTGGACCTGCTGTGTGCTCTTCCTCTGCCCCTTCATTGGAAAAGCTCCTGAAGGGCTGAGCTGGGCAGGGAGTGGGGACTAGGCTGGGCAGGAGGAAAGGCTAGGTGGGGGGCAGGCTGGTCAGCTGGGCCCTGTTTGAATGGGGCGGAGGTCTCTTACATCCAGACCCCACTCACCGCTCCCATCCTTGCCCCTTTGTCCTCCAGGTTTTCCGCAGAGCCGACAAGAATGGTGAGTGTGGCTTCCCCTGCACCCCACAGTGGGAGGGAAGGTGGGAGATATCATGAAGCTCGGGAGGGTTGGGGCTTTGGGGGTACAGTCTAGAATGGACAAAAATCTTGGGGGAGTCAAAGGAATCAATCAAAGCGTCATTCCCAAGGGAAGTGCTGTTTTTTTTGTTTTTTGTTTTTTAAAATATATCTTTATTGATTTCAGAGAGAGGAAAGGAGAGGGAGAGAGAGAGAGAAACATCAATGATGAGAGAGTCATTGATCAAGCCCACAACCGGGCATGTGCCCTGACCGGGAATCGAGCCACGCCCGGCTGGGCAGGAAGCGCTGTTTTGAGCCAGGTTTGGCAGGATGGAGAAAGGAGGGAATGTGTTTAGCCGGAGGCTGAAAGTAGAGGTTTACTTTCAGGTACAGGGTTAGGTACCTTCCTGTATATGACCTTGTGTTTTTCACCCTATTTCATAAAGGAGCAGGGGTCCAGAGAGGTAAATCAGGTTGCCTGAGGTCACACAGCCTTTAAGTGGTGGACCATGAACCCAGCTCTATATGATGCTTGGCCCTAGGCTCCCTGTGTGAGAGGCTGAGAAGTGTGGGCTAATGGAGATGAGGTCCTGTGGGGAATTTTACTCTTAGATTTTTAGCAGGTTCAGTAACTTTCCATATGACCAACCATCTGGATCCAGGGACGGCCTGGGCATGATAAAGCTGGCTCTAGGAATCAGCTCCTTCTCTCCTGGGCCCTGGGCAGTCTCAGACCTGGGTCTGGGAAAACCTTGAAAGCTAAAGCAGGGGACCCACAAACAGGTTACTGCCCATAGATGACCCAGAACAGCCCACTGTACTGATTGGCCAGTTGATCTGAGCTGAGGCAGCCAGTTAATCTTGACCTCACTTCCATCTGGGGTCTTGTGTTTCAGCCTTCTTGAGATAGGATTGTGTCCCCATCCTTTGGCCCTTCTCCTTGGGTCTCTTCAAATTGATGGAGACCATTTGTCCCAATCCATTGATCAGGATGCACAGTCTCATTTGGATCAAAGCATTCTGTCTGCTTCCCCTGCTTAGAGACCTTACAGGCCAGATCCCCAGTGTCTTTGGCCACCCCATTCAAGTGCTCTTAGCCTTTGCTACATGCCCCCTGTGACAGGGAGGCCATTCCCTCTGGAGCCAGCCTGCTGCTTCTTACAGGGGCCCCAACCCTTGGGAAGATCTCATCAGCCTCCCTGTGGCTTCTCTGTGAAGGTCCTGGGTCCAGAGCACAAAGGTTCTCTCCATCCTGGGGCCAGGCTGGTCAGCATGTGGGGAGGCTCTCAGCCCCCCAAGTCCTCTCAGTGATGTCTAGGCCCTACCATGGTCTGTGTCCCATGAACAGGCTGCTGTTCATTTGTTTCTTCACGTGGCAAACATTTATTGAGTCCCTACCCAATGCCACATGTGTAATGTGTAATGCCCTGCCCTTTGGGTGCATGCAAAGTGGTCCCTGTTGCCCCAAATGGGCATCTCTAAGGGCTCCAGCCCTTTGTCCCCAACAGCTAGGGCCCCGAAACTCAGAATCCCATTCCACCTGGCTGGGTGGGTGTGATATGCTGTGAGGCCTTTGGGGGGCCTGGACCCGGTGGCAGGGGTGCAGCCAGGGGTCAGGGATATCGATTCTGTTCCCTGTCCACCCACCAGATGATGGTAAGCTCTCATTTGAGGAATTCCAGAATTACTTTGCTGATGGGGTTCTCAGCCCTGGGGAGCTGCGGGAGCTGTTCATCGGCATTGATGGGCATTCCACCGAGTGAGTACGAGCAGGAGATGGAAGAGCCGTGGGTAGATGTGAGGCCAGGTTGTCTCAACCCCACTCTGTCCCCTGCTGCTTTGGTTCCTTATGGAGGACAGAGGACAGGAGGAAAGGGAAGGTAGGGGGAGGGGTGTCAGGGCTCAGTGCCAAGTTTTACCCACCCACTTGCTGCCTCCCTGGCTCCAGCCTTGCCCATCACATTGCTTCCAACTGGGACCCTAAAATAGCCAGGCCTGAGTCACCACCCATGGTTCGGCCCACAGGTGCCTCCCTCCTCATTGCCGTTTCCTGCAGGGACCAAAGGATTCCTGGGGACAGCTGGGCCCCCTGCTTCCACCCATGGATGCAGGTGCATGAACATGCACACATCTCGCCACATGCACTCCCACGTCTACAGGCCTTAGCACAAGTTTACATGCTTTCCTCCCCATGCTTCCTCACATGGGTACAACACATACACAGCTATCCCTCCCTCTCATTTCCCTTCCTCCCTCATCTCCTTAGAATAAATTCAAGGCTCCTGTGTCCCTCCCCCCCCTCCCCCCATTCTGAGGCTTGGCCTGGACCCTTTGCCTTCACCCCTCGCTCCAGGCACTACAGTCAAATTCCTTGTCCTTCAAGGCCTGACAGGCAGCTGCTCCTCTAGGAAGCCTTCCTTGACCTACCAATTAATACCCCATGCCTTCTCTGTATTTTCCCAGCTCTGGCTTCCCCTTCCCAGCTCTGACCACTCCTCTTTGGCCTGGGGCCACAGTTGTCTCTTTTGGACTAAAATTCCCTTGGAAGCTAAGAATGGGTCTGAGTTTCTGCCCTCAGAGAGTGTTTGATGGGGCAGTAGTATTCCTGCCTGTCCCCCTCAACCCCACTGCCTCTGCCCCACTGAGCAACTTAGCCTAGGGTGGAGGCAGGAGTTGCCTCCTTGTCAGGCTGAGCTGGATGGGGAGGGGGAGAAATGTTGGCTTCAAAGTCCCAGTTCACCAGGACCAAATGTGGGGGTCTGAAGGGCGCCTTCTCTTTTCCCTGCAGCAATTTGGAAACGGAGAAACTGTGTGGTGAGTAGGCCAGTGGAGCTCTTGTCTCCCAGAACCTCTGGTCAGGTGGGTGTGATAGGGGGCTGTTGTTTCAGGACGGGCTGGGTTCAGAGAGACCTGGTTGGCTGTCAAGGAATTCTGGGTTGGGTGATGGGTTGGGGCGGGAATTTTTGAGCAACCCCTCTGCCCACAGACTACTTCTCAGAACACCTGGGTGTCTACCAGCCTGTGCTGGCTGCGCTGGAGTCCCTGAACCGTGCAGTGCTCACTGCCATGGACACCACCAAGTTGGTGAGTGAAACAACTGATATGAGGGGTGGAGGGCCCAAAATGAGTGCAGGGGTGTTTGCTGTGCTGTGGGAGCCTCCATTGCCTTAGGGCTATGGAGCTAGAGGGCTGGGTTCAAATCCTGGCTCTCCCACTTTCTGTTTGTTCACCTTTCCATCTCTGGGTTTCAGTTCCCTCATCTGTAAATTGGGGGTAAAAGTAGAGCCTGCCTCTATACACTTGTGACAATTAAATGAGAATGAAGGCAGGGCCTTTTGTCTGTCTTGTTCTGTATCCCCAGCCTGGCCTGAGGACTTTAGGGAGTATTCAGGCATGTGTTCACTCACGTGTGTGTGCATGTGTGGATGTGTGTGCACAAGCATAAACAGTGCTTATAGGCAGGGCTCCAGGCCTTTGTATGGTGACTTCAAAAAACCCACAAGCCGCCCATGCCTTTGTGTGTTCCTTTTAAGAGATGTCTGCACTGCCTTTTGTCCCATAACTCTTAATAAGGGGGTAAGGAGGGAGCAGTGAGCGAGCCTGGGATTGTGCCTAACCTTTTTATAGAAGAGGAAACTGATGCCCTCAGCCAGTGGATGATCAGCTGAAGACTGTGCTTCCCCTCTGATTGCTTTCACAGGGATTTAGTTGCTTTTCAAAGGGTCACCCCTTGTGGCCTGGCATGGGATGGGAATCCAAATGGTATATTATGAAGGGTTGGCATGTTGTGGCAACTTCTGTATCTATGGCTGTACACAAGTGTGGGCATCGCCTTCCTTATTGCCATGGAAACAGGGTCCAGGGTCCGGGGTGTGGGCAGCTGGAGTGGCATTCTCTGAGCTGGCACTGGTTAGGGGGAATTCAAACTGCAGGTCACAGTGAGGGTCCCAGACCACCTCCTCCTGGCCCAGAAAGGGATAGGGGGTGACCCATCACCACACGATGACCCTGCTAGCTCCAATCACCTGAGACTTTTATCTGGCATTCGATGCCTCTGTTAGAGCTTCAGCTCAGCCTGCTAAGCCTCTGCCTCTGCAGCCCCCTGGTGGCACCACCCCTTCCAGTCCAACGTGACTCAGTTGAAGACTTTGTGCACCAGCCTGGAGCCACACTCCTGGTACATGGCCCGGGTCATCCATTGGCTTTGGAAGTTCTGCAGTGAGGCCACCATGGAGCCACCTGTCCACACTGCCGTGCCTCGCCCAGGCTTGGCCACCAGATGTGGCTGCAGTGCCCCATAGCCGTGCTGCTGGCACTGGGCTTCCAGCTCTATCTCCAGGCGCTCAGTGAAACCAGGGAAAAGTGTGGAGCCACCAGCCAGCACCACAGTGTCAGCCAGCCTCCTCCGCAGGGTTCCAGGCACGCTCTTCAGTGCCCAGAAGGCCAGTGTGGGCAGTCCTGGCTCCGCGTGGCCTAGCAGAGCAGGCTGGAAGATGGGTTCAGGGCAGCGGAAGCGCTCGCTGCTGAGGCAGACCGCGCATCGGTTGCCCAAGCAGAAGCTGGCTGGCTGGTGGCGGCCAGGGTTATGGAGGTCACCTTCAAAGTCCAGCGACACGTAGCAGCAGCGCTTCTTGAGCTGTGTGATGGCCTTTCGGGGTAGGGTCTGCCGCAGTAGGTCAGGGCACGCTGCCACCAGCAGATCCCGCAGGTAGCGCGACAGGGTGGTGCCTGCCACCTCCAGCCGGAAGGTGGCCTTGTGCCAGGAGTGGCCCGCATAGATGGGCGTGGCGTGGCACACGCCCGCACCGGCCTCCACTGCCAGCCCGCTGAACGCTCCGGTGGAGCAGAGCGCCAACAGCGCCGTGCTGGCCATGTGGCACGCGGGCACCGCCAGGGCCTCGAACAGCAGCTCGGCCACCCTCTCGCGGCTGGAGGGTGGCGCCGACGGCGAGTCGCTCACCAGGACGGGCCACTGCTCCGGGCGCACCCGCAGCCCGCCCACCAGCAGGCGCTCCCAGAGCCCCCCCAGCGCCTC